ACACCAACTGGGTCGGTAGACAGAAGGCAAGCACTAAACCCCAGTACCCCATTCTTTCTTCAGCCCGAAGTTTATCTTCTACTATTATTTGGTTCTTTGGCCACACCTGGCTATACTCAGGGCTTACTCCTGGCTCTGCACTCAGGAATTCGTCCTGGTGGTACTCGGGGAACCATGTGGGGTGTCGGGGATGGAACCTGGGTTGGCCGCATGGAAGGCAAGTACTGTACCTGCTGTACTGTGATTCCAGTCCCCTAACTTTGTCTTCTAATAAAACAGTATTTTCGTGCAACCCCACTGCACTGAGGTGCAGACTAGAATGAGACGCTGAAGGGGGCTACACCCCAAGTGGAATCCTCCGGGGCTGGACGCAGTGTGAGGCGCTGGCAAAGGTGCTGGGCTGGCATGCAGTCAGCCCTGATTCCGTTCCTGGCACTGCACGATTCCCTGGGCACTGCTGGGCAATTACTGAGCACAGATCCAGGAATAAACCCCCAAGTATCCTCAACTACAACCCATTCCACAACCCCGACCCCTGACCCCTCGCCCCCCACCCCCAAAGTCCTCTCTGCCTAAGCGAAAGTTGGTTAAGTCACCATTCAGAGCCAAACAGACAAGCCAAATGTGGATATTCACCCTGACAATGAGACTAACGCACGTGACTCGGTGTGAAACACATCCTGTCACTGGGGAGGGCACGCGCCTTTAAATTCCCATCGAGGTGGATTGTGCTGACAGCTGTTTTCCCTGCTAAACATGTTTATTAACCGGGGAAGAAGAGAGAGCTCAGGGGTTTCTAGCTACTTGCCTCACATGCAGTCAGTTCCGATTCAGTAACACATGCCGCTGCATCTGGTTCCCTGAGCACCGCCAGAAGAGGCCCTGAGCACAGTGAGGTGAGGCTCCCAGCCCAGGAGTCTCTACTCTGGAACCAGACAGACAGCTCAAAGGGCACGGGGAGGCTGCACTGCTGAGAACAACACCTTCCCTGCCAGCACACTGCCAGGTGTGACTCCAAGACAACCCCCCACCTCAAAACTTCCCTCTACTGGTCACCCTTTACCTGGACTCGGGGCAACAGCCCAATAGGACCTTTTCTCTGACATGTCAGACAGTTAAAGGGCACTTGGGAAGTTTTTTTTTTAAGTTTGTTATTTGGGCCACACCCAGCTGTAATCAGTGATCATTCCTGGCAGGCTCTAGGGACCAGATGGGTGCCAGATCAAACCCAGGGCAGCAAAGTGCAAGGCAAGTGCTTGTGTTATAACTTCAGCCTCAGAAGTTATTTCTGTTTTCTTTTTTGGATTGCATCCGGCAATGCCCAGGGACTAGCACTGCGGAACCAGATGAGATGCCATGGACTGAACCCTGGTCAGCCGCATGCAAGGCAAACACCTTCCCTGCTCTACTATCGCTCCAGCCGCAGAAGCTCCTTTTTAAATGATGGGGCACTACTGGTATATTTACTTGCCCAGAAGGCAGCTTCTGATTTCCAGGGTTGATACAGAAGAGAATCTGACAACTCATTGATGTTTATCAAGCCGAGCGAGGAAGGCCAAGAGAGAGGAAAGGCTGGAGGCCGCGGGGACAGGCAGCCTGGGCGGGACCTCTTCTCGGGCACCCACAGTCACCACCAGACCCCGCCGAGGCTTTGGGGCAATGCTCCACCGTGCAGCGGTGGACTCGGACTCCTGCATTTAGGGAGCCCATGAGAGGCAAAAAGCACCTGGCACTTCTCCAGAGTCTCCAACACGCTCTGCAGGCAGAAGATCAGGTTCAGTCCCTGGCACTCCTCTGCCCTCACCAGCCCCACACTGTGGGTGTCCCGTCCCCCCCCCCAAACCCTGCCCCCAGCCAGCACAGCTGGGTGTGCCCTTATAGTCTGAAAGATTAAACACATATCATTACTCAAATGACCTGGATGTTTTTCCTCTTTTGGAGAGTAACAACTTTTAACAAAGTATCTGGGGCTGGAGCAATAGCACAGCTTGAAGGGCGTTTGCCTTGTGGGCAGCGGACCCGGGTTCGATTCCCAGCATCCCATATGGTCCCTTGAGCACTGCCAGGAGTAATTCCTGAGTGCAGAGCCAGGAGTATCCCCTGTGCATCGCCGGGTGTGACCAAAAATAGCAAAATAAATAAAGTATCTGTGGCAGCTCCTTTTACTTCAAAATGCCAGAAGGCACAAAGAAAATGTATTGTGGCTGTCTGAGAGTTATACACAGACTTAGTCTAGCAGATGCTCACTTAAACTTATGGACATATACTAAAAAACACTTTTAAAAAACTTTAGGCCAGCAGAGCGACAGTACAGCAGGTAGGGTGTTTGCCTTGCATGCGGCCGACCTAGGTGCAATCCCCGGCACCCCATATGGTCCCCCTGCACCACCAGGAGTAACCCCTGAGCATCACCGGGTGTGACCCAAACAAAACAAAACAACTTTGGGCCATACCTGGTGATGCTCATGAATTATTCCTGGCAGTGCTTCTAGAGACAATATGAGATGCTGGGACTGAACCCTGGTAAGTTGCATGCAAGGCCAGCACCTTACCCTACTTCTCTCCAGCACCCACCCCCAATACAAATATACTAAATACGTTTTACTACAGAAGTCATTGGTAGAGAAGTACCAAAATTCATGTTTCTAAATATCTGAATTGTAAACAAAAAACCTTAAAGTTTTCTTTTTGCCACGTGGCTCTGCACTCAGCAATTACTCCTGAAGATGCTCAGGATGACCAGATGGGATACAGGGAACTGAACCAGGGTCAGATGTAAGCGAGGCTACTGCCCTACCCACTGTGCTATTGCTCCCGCCCCTGGAATTTTAATTTTAACCAGATTTAAACTATCTTAAAAATAGGCAAAACATACAGAGCTTAAGGCACTTGCGTTGTGAGCAGGTGACCTTGGTTGGCTCCCAAGCACCACAGGTCTAAGCCCTGGAGATTTTAGGGTGTGGCCCCTACCCCTCAAAAAAAAAAAGCCTGAAGGTAGGAGGAGAAAAGAGAGACCCACATTTTCTTGGGGCAGGGTGTTTCCAGGTCACCCTTGGCTTCCTCCTTGCCCTGCATGCAGGGAGCACGCCTGACGGGGCTCGGGGACTCTGTGGTGCTGGAGACTGAACCTGGGTTAGGTGCAAGCAAGGAGAGTGCCTCGCCCACTCCAGCTTCAACTCCACCTTCTGAAGCCAAACTTCGAAACAGTTTAGTAGGGCCTTACAAGAAGAGATCAGGGAGGCAGGAAAGAGGCAAAGAAATAAGTTCCTTTGTGTTTTTCCTGTTATTACTTAGCTTCCAAACAACTGTTCAAATCAAGAGCAGGTTGTTGTGTCCTTTGTGACACAGAACTGAAATGAGTTTTAACTTACTAATCAGGAGTAGTGAAACTGCACCAGCTGTAATTCTGACCTACTTAGGAAACTATTCCAAGTCAGATGAAAAGAACCCATGTTCTGGTAGTCATTCCAAATGACCACTTCTTTATTTTTGAAACCTCAACCTGCACATACATATCCAAAATGCTTGCAGCGCAAAAACTTCTCCTGCAAATACCTATCTACCTACATTATTGCTTTAAAAATGTATAGATTTGGAAAAATGCACAGAACTGTACATTTTCATGCCAACTTAGAGGAAAAGCAAGTATGGAAATCAAAGTTTTGTTTTTTTTAGACCCCTTTCCTTTACTTGATAGCCTGTAGCAAGGTGTCAGATCTTTCTGGGTACCAGTTGCCATTTGTAAAATAAAAATATTTGATCCCTGGTTCCCTCACAAAGGGTTTGTGGGGTGCTAAGATATGAAACACTTTGAAAAAGTCTTACAAGTGTTAGCATACCACCACTAGTAAACTCAAGGGCATGCAGCAATAATAAAATTTCCCCCACACTTTGCTTAAATAGGGGGCCAAAGAGACAGTACAGCAAGTAGGGGGCTTGCTTTGCTTGCACACAGCTAAGTTCAGCCCCCTAAAACCCACATGGTCCCCTGTGATCTTTAAGCACTACCGGCTGGGCCTGGAGCATTAGTATAGAGGGCAGGGCACTCGCCTTGCATGCAGCAAACCCGGGTTGTTCAATCTCCAGCTCCCCAAGTCCACTGATCATTCCTGCCAGGAATGATCCTCAAGTGCAGAGCCAGGAGTAAGCCCCGAGCATCACCAGGTATAGCCCAAAAATCAAATAAAGACGAAGAAGAAAACTTTACTATGACATATTGAGGGCAAAAGATTGTAAAAATCCACAAAGATAAGCCTACGAAAGAGGCTCAACTGCCCCGGGGGATCTGCTCTCGTGTCTGAGCCTGCCTGTCTTTAATAAGTAATCTGGGCAGGGCTGCGGCCGTACCATGTGTCCAGGGCTAAGGGCAGTGGCAGATGCCCTCTCGCACAAGGACTGGTGTTCAGGGCCCCTGCACACTGTCAGGGTTAGGACTGGAAACATCAAAGCCCTCAGCTGGCCTCCAGCATCACTGGCCCAGTATCACCCATCACTGACCCCAGCACTAAAGTGCCCAGCCTGCTTGGCTAAGAATCCCAGAAAACTACCTGGAAGTGCCAGTCACTCAAAAAAAAAATTTTTTTTTAATTAATTAATAAAGCGTAGTGCTACACGACCCAACTAGGTCACTCCAAAGGACAGGGAAAAGAGACCTGCCTCTGCACAGATGTTATAAAGAAAAGCAAACAGAAGGTAAGTCAGCACTGAGACACCTCTCAGAAGGTAGGAGAGAAAGATCAGAAGTTACGGCCTACTGAGTAAGGGCCTGCCTTGCACAAAGCAGCCCCTGGCTCAATTCCTGCCACCCAAGCACAGAGCCTGAGGACTGCCAACCTCAGGCCCCAATCTGAGCGTAAGCCCCCCACCCCTAACACACACACACACAGCGCCGTGAGAAAACACACGTGAACAAAGCAAACCTAACACCCTGAAGTTCTTGCACAAGTTTCAAACCGAAAAGGCCGCCAAATTCCCCTCTCCAGAGCCCGGGTGATACTCACAGGAAGTGTGCACTGCCAGGGGAGTAGCTATAACAGAGAGCTATTTTGTTTCTGCAATGAATTCTCTTCCTTCTGATTCCATTCCTCCTTCCTGTACCTAAGATGGAAATGCAGGGGCAGTGAATGGACACAAACCACCGCGGCCCAGGTGCAAGCAAGGTCTGCTTTGGGGGAGCCACGACCCAACCCGGCAGAGCCACTTCTAAGACCAGCTGGGGGGGGGGGAGGGGAGGAAGAGAGCAGGGCTCCCGACACCCCCCCACCCCCCACCCCGCAGCTGGACCCTCGGTCCTGCCAGCGGCGTCCTCACCGGGCGGACTCGGGCCGGGGACCCGGTGGACGCGGAAACTTCCTGGGCCACCCGCACGCTGCCCAACTGGCCAGGCCAGGCCGGGCCCCCCGCAGGCTCTCCGTGGGTCACCGGACACTGACCCCGGGCCGAACCCCGCGTGGAGGCCGGGCTAGGGGCCCGGGGGGGGGCACGGCCGTGGGCTCCCCGCACGTGGGGGTCACGCGTCCGCGGCCCGGCACCCGCGTCTCCATCCCCCGCCCCCGACGTCGCGCCGGGGGCGCCTGGGACCCCCCCCCTCCACCCCCACCCCCGGCCGGGCCGGCCCGCGGGGCCGCGCGCCGGGTTCATCCGGGGACAGGGCTCGGGAGAGGGGAGGCGTGAAGGGCAAGACGCGCGGGCCGGGGGGGCAGGGCCGGGAGAACGCGGACAGTTGAGGCCGCGCGGGCCGGGGGGTCGGGGCGCCGGGGTGGGGCGGGGGGCGGCGCGGCCGGGGCCCCCTCGGCGCCCAAACTTTCCGGCCCGCGCCGCTTCCCGCGGGCGCGTCCCCGGCCGGCCCGGCCTCCCCGCCCGCCGCGCGCCCGGCCCGGCCCGGCCCGGCCCGGCCCCGCCGTGCGCCCCGTCCGGCCCCGCCGCCGCAGGCCCGCAGCCCACTCGCCCGCCGGCCGCCCGGGGCCTCGCCGCCCGGCCGCGGGCGGGGCGCGGCGGGGCCCCTACCCACCTCGTCTCCTGGCCCACTCGCAGCCGGGGCGGACGGGACCTCTCGCGCTCTGCCTTCTCCTCCTGCTTCATGGAGCCATGCGCCTGGGTGGGGGCTCCCGAGAGAAGCGGGCCCGCGACGGGCCGGACGCGCAGGCGGACGCGGCAGGCGGGACCGGACCGCCCCGAGGGCGGAGGAGGAAGCGGCGGCGGCGGCGACGGCGGCGGCGGCGACGGCGGCGGCGGCGGGGGAGAAGCGCCAGAGGGATTCCCCGGGCAGCTGGAGGACTGAGCGAGCCGGGACGCGAGTCCTCCGCGATCCCAGCATGCACCCGGGGCAGTGAGGTAATGGGGGGCGAACGTAGGAAGTCCTCCCGAGGGCCGTGCGCCCTCTAGCGAGCGGCCGGGATCATAGAGAGGAGGGCGCCGCCGGAGCCCCGCCCCGCTGCGGTCACGTGGCCCGGGCCCGCGCGCCCTATTGGCTGCTGCGCTCGGCGGGGTTGAGCCGAGCGTCGGCGCTCCCCTCCCGAGGCCGAGCCCCGGCTTGCGGCGGACGCGGGGACGGAGGCGGAGGGGTGGCGGGCGGAGGCGGAGGGCCCCGGGGTCGTGGAGCGGGTCGAGCGCGGGGCCGGCTCCGGGGCCCGCCACCGCGGTGCACGCCGGGCCGGGCGGCTCGGGCCACGGCGTGCGGGGCGTGCCGGGAGTTGTAGTTCGGGCGGCGTTGTCCACGGGCAGGCCCGGGCGCTGAGCCGGGCGCCGGGCCCCAGCTCGGGGATCGGTCCCGCCGCCCACGGCCCAGAAGGGACAGGCCCAGACCAGCGTTTAACCAACGCGACCCCGGCAAGGCCCCAGGGTCGGCGCGGGGTCGCTGTGCCAGGAGGCCCCATCAGTGCCCCTCGCCGGACCCCCAGCCTGCAGTGACCTCGGCGAGTGGACAGGATTGTGCAGCAGTCATGCAGCGCCCAGCAGGGCGAGGAGCTCGGACCACGCAGAACTTTTTCTTTAACTCTAAGTGCCATTTTTAAAGTTAACACTCAATTTCAGATGCTTGAGTTTTGACTGGACGTAGCGTTTTGATTTCTAATTACAGAGGGAACTGCACGAGGCGTTTTATTTCCGCCCTGCTGCCTCGCCCTAACCACTTCAAATGTGAACTGGAGCCGAGCCAAGCCCTGTTTTAGAGCGATGCTACTCTGTTAAAAACCCAAGTGTCGGCTGGAGAGATAATAACCGTGAGTAAGGTTCTTGCCTTGCACTTAGCTGACCCGGTTCACTCCCCAGCACCATATACGGGGCCCTGAGCACCGCCAGTGATGGCCCCAAGAACAGATAAACCCACCACTGATGGACTTTATTATTATTATTATTATTATTATTATTTTGCTTTTTGGGTCACACCCAGCGTTGCACAGGGGCTCCTGGCTCATGCACTCAGGAATTACTCCTGGTGGTGCTCAAGGGACCATATGGTATTCTGGGAATCAAACCCGGCAAATGCCCTACCCCCTGTGCTATCTCTCCAGCCCCCACTGGTGGACTTTTGCGTCTTGCTTTTCTGTTGATGCACAGAGGAATCCTTGACATCTTTCTCTTTATGGAGCAGAGAAGAATAGCACTGTAACACTGTCCTCCCACCAGGCACCAGTAACGTCTCCATTGTTACTGTTTTTGGCATAACAAATACGTCATGGGGAGCTTGCCAGGCTCTCCAAGAGGGTCGGAGGAACCGAATCCAGGTCGGCCAGCATGCAAGGCAAACACCCTGCCTGCTGTGCAAATATCTAGTAAAAAATACAAATCATATCTAATGATTAAGATTTCCAGAAAAACCCTTCTGCTCAAGAATGCAAAATGCATCCAAGCATAATAAAATTTACTGCCGCAGAATTCTGTGTGCTCTGAAAAATAAAAAGAATTAAAACAATTAAAAAAAGAATTGGCTGGTTGATACTTGTTGGGCCTAGAAATCCCAAAGAGAAAATTGGCAAGGCCCTCGACTTCTTGGAGCTGGAGGTGACTTTTGTTTTGAAGCAATTTCCTTCGCAGTTTTCATCATTCCTGTCAGTCTTGAGATGCTTATCGACTACTGAGGCCACTTTTGCCAGTTTCTCATGTCTGTCTGCCTGAAAAACTATAAATTAGATGATCCTGGGGCCTGGTGCCAGGAATGCACGAGGCAGCAAGCCAGAGGCCAATTTTGTTGTAAGTGTTTCTGAATAAGACCAAATCCTGACCTAAAATAATCAGAATACATTTCACACAGGGAAATTTTCTTTCTTTTTTTTTTCCCAAAGGAAAGTCTTAAAAACTTGGCGTATGAAATAAGGTCTCCATGACACTGTGCTGTCATGACAGCACACAGATGGGGAGTTATTGCTCCCGGTTAGCAGCTCCCGGGAGGGAAATGATGGAATGAAGCTCGACTTGAAAGACTCCCAGATGAAAACAAAAACAAACGTTACTTTGAACTGCCCAATAAGAAATGTTCCTAAGAAGTAGGGTCCAGAGTCGGTCTGCTGCTGGGAATTAGGCCATACCGCAAAGAGGACTAAGTTGTTTGTTTGGGGGCCCTCCCCAGCAGTGCTCAAGGCCATACCCAGTGTTGCTCAGGTCCCCATGCTGTGCCCAGGATCAAACCTGGCAGCTCCCTGTTGAGTCATGTTGTCAGTCCCCCGGTCAGGTGGCTTTGGGGGTGTGACAGAGCCATAGTACAGCAGGTAGGGTGCGTGCCTTCTGTGCGGTTGACCCAGGTTTGACCCCTGGCACCACAATGGTCCCCAAACACCATCAGGAATGTTCCCTGAGCATTGAGCCATAGTAAACCTTGGGCACAACTGGATGTAGCCCAAAGAAACAAACCAAAAGACACTTTAGGGGACCCCGAGAGACAGTACTGTGTCATCTCCTGGTGGCTAGGGAAGGGAAGCCCCGGTGGCTCTCCCCTTCGCTGCCCAGATTGGGTGGTCTCGGGCAGCTCATCCACGCAGGGTGGCCTGGGCCATGGGGCAGATGTAGGAGGAAACGAGGGCCAAGCCGGTTGGTTGGTCAGATGCCGTTTATTCCATTCTCCCCATGCACCTGCCCCAGTCTCTCTGAGCCCTCCATTCTATAGAAGTCTCACACTGCCCCTCATTCCCGTCTCCTCCTGTCTCTCCTGCTCACCTCTCCACGCAGCCTGGGCTCTCTCTCTCTCCATGTGCCTGCTCCTGTATTCTTCTTCTGCATTCTTCTCCCTCGGTCCCCCTTGCTAGTCTCTCCGTGCTCCATCTTGCTGCCCTGCGCTCTCTCTCCTCTCCCTCCAACTCTTTTGTCTCCCCAACTCCCCCACACTGCAGGTAGACACTCCACCCACTCAGGTAGCAAAATCAACATCAGAAAGCTCAAGGGGGAGACACCACCTAGGGGCCATTCCTCTTCTCTTTAGTCCAATAACTTAACATCTTGATTAGCATCTTAATTCTATTTCTTAATAGTTATTAAGAAATATTTCTTACTATTTCTTAATATTCTATTCTTAATATTTCTTAATATTAGTTATTTTGTATGGACACAGTAAAAGATACATTGTATTGTGGCTCTCCCGGGAACATCTTGCCACAGACTCAGACTACAGTGCTCAGGCTGGATAATCATTCCTAACCCTAGCAGGGTCCGAATCTGGTTATTGCTTTTTGGATCATGATAGCATTTGTCCATGACTAAGCTCTTAACTTATAATTAAGCATTATAATACTTTGGCCAGGCCCATTTCGATCCCAGGGTAGCACATAGCTCACAGCTTGCCCTGGGTCCATCCAGTCCCTCCTCGGGACCTTGCTTTTGGGGTGCTAGGAAGTAAGGGCAACTGAGGCTTAAGTTGAGAGAATAGATGTCCTGAAGGAAAATATCATTCAGAGTCAATTAACTCCCAAGTTACAAAAGCATGGCATAAACTGTCTTCCTGTGTCCATACTATAAGGACATTGCTCTGAATTAACTATGCAAAGGACTTAAGGAGAAGAGAAAAGCAATATTTACAAGTCAACAGCACAAAGGAAGAAGTTACAAATAAACACAAAGGAATAGGAGCAACCCAGTAAACCTAAGCTCTCTGTGGCAAGGCGGAAAGGACAAACCAATGTTATCCTACATAGTACAAGGTAGAGTGCCTGCCTTGCATATGGCCGACCCAGGTACAAAGACCCATATGGTCTCATCTGTTCTCCAGAGCATCACTAGGAGTGATGCCTAAGTGGAGAGACAGGAGGTAGTCTGGGGGCTAGAGAGATAGTACAGTAGGTAGAGTGTTTGCCTTGCATGTGGCCAATCCAGGTTCGATCCCCAGCATTGCATTTGGTCCCCTGAGCACCACCAGGTGTAATTCCTGAGTGCAAAGACAGAAGCATTGGGCATTGTTAGTGTGGTCCCAAAACAAAAAACAAAAAAAAAGGAATTCACTCTGAGCACTGCAAGACATGACCCCCTGCCTGCCCGCCCCCACCACCCCCCACAAAAAAAGTTTTGTTTTGGAGAGATGGCATAGTGGGTAGGGAGCTTGCCTTCCATACGGCCAATCCAGGTTCAATCCCTGGAACCCCATGTGCTCGTCCAAGCCCCTCTAGGAGTGACTTGTAAGGGTAGAGCCAGGAGGATAGCTGGATGTTCCCGAACCCTCCCCCACTCCCAAAAAAGTCACCTTGAAATAAATAAAAAGACGATTTGGGTTTGGTCTCTACCTTTGGGATCATAAGGCAATTCTCGGGTGGGTACATGGGTGATGGGTGTGGTGTAGGAATTATGTGCATGGGAAACCATCATTAACACTATTGTAAGTCACAGGACCTCAATTAAAAAAAAAAAAAGAAGAACTCTGAACTGACAAAAAGATAAAAAAATAAAAGCCTATACAGGAGGAGAAGCTAAGGGCAATACATGTCATAACGATGAACGAAACTGAAGAGATAGTACAATCGGGAGACATTACAGTGGGGAGGTCATTTGCCTTGCACGTGGCCCATCCGGCTTCAATCCACAGCATGCGGTATGGTCCTCCAAGCCTGCCAGGAGTGATCCCTGAGTATAGAGCCAGGACTAAGCCCTGAGCACTGCCAGGTGTGACCCCAAAAACAAAAAATAAAAATGTGTCCTCGCCACT